AAAACTATAATTATACAGCGCTATAAGCAGATTGTAACACATTTTAAATATGTTAATAATGCATCACACACATGGGCGTCATAGATAGTTTTACCAGATGTTTATACACGGCTTACAAATGCTAAATATGGAACGCTAAAGTAAAGTGCGACTGTTAAAACATGAAGCAGAGATTTTACATTTCAAACCCTGCATCTGATAAATGAAAAGAAACATTACTGACAATTAGAATCAAGAAACAAATAATTTTAATTCAAACAGCATCTGAGACAGACTGTATGATAACGTTTCTCACTGCTCTCACTTCCCTGAATTTAACAGCCCCCGATGTGTTATAGACTTTATAGCAGCGAGGCTTTGATGTAGCTCTCGGCCTCAGACGCTAATATGAGCGTTTAAAAAGACCCAGTGTGTGTGTAATCATTATTAGACATTTTCCTCCTTCCTCCTTTTAATTCTCTCTTCGCTAATATGGAAACATTGCAGAGCGTATAACACTCAGCGAGCCTCTCTCATGATATATAACGCGTGCAGCCAAGACCAGTAGTAGGCTCAGAATTAGAAACCCAATATATCCTAAATTAGAAGGTCGACATTATAACAAAATATCCTGGTAAGTGAACAGAGAGCTGCAGTAATAAGGCCTGCACAAAAACATTTAAGAGCAGAGATTTCTTTTGTCACAAGTTTGATTTTAATGGAATTTTTGACTCTTTTCAGGTGAAATATTCCCACTTTTTTTTTTTTTTTTTTTCTTTTAAAAACTGAACCCTGCCCTTATAAAATGATTTTTAATTAAACAGGATATCATCTAAAAGTAGAGAATGTGTTTGAGGACAAAGATGCATTTACTGAGGTAGAAATAATTTTACCAACAAAGTTTCATCAACAGGAGACATTTGGACTTTTCTAGATTCTTTTACATTTAAATTAAACACATTTATTTAAATTGGGATCCTTAGTAATGCGACTATAGCAGAATATCTGAGCGCCTCAGAGATAAATAACATGTTCCCTTGGTTTGATCCTGCAGCTAATCACAGTGACAGTGCTGCAGTGTTGAGATGAACATCTGCGGGCGGCGAGGAAACTGTCGTCGCTGCCCGTTTCCTTTCAGAGTTTCAGCCGCAGATTTACAGCAGTTGTCAAGGATATTGTCCGTGCGGAGGACAGAGTGGGATGTCAGTGATATATGACGAGGTGGGACAGTAAATGTTGTCTCCATTTACAGCTCGATTACATGAAGAGAACAGCAGCCTGCTCGGGCAGTGACAGCATGAAAGCATAAAGGAAAATTGTTGACAGCTTTGAATGCATTTGTTATTTTTAAAACTCACTTCATGCAGCCTGACATGGACAAAACCATATGTGTGTTTACTCCTCTGCAATTTGCATGACACTCAGCTATTTGCTGTTTGCACAAGAGTGAAAAAAGTTGTTTAAATAACAATATGAGTTTTTCTTCTTTGAACTGTGGCTTACTTTTAAACACAGTTAAACACTGTTAAAACGTAGTCTGTTAAATTGGGAATAAGAGTCTTATTAAATCACACTTTTCTTATTTAAGAGCTGCCATATTTACTTATTCATTTTGGAGTATTACTGCTGTTATAGGAAAGCTTGCATCACCAATATTTGTAATTTGCTGTGTAAATTTAAGGATTATCTTGCTGCTTTAGATAAAGACAAACAGATGACCCTTTTTTAAATATGATATTCAACCAGTAAATTCAAACTAACATGGACATCAAGTCAAAAACAAGCAGATTTTCTCAACATTTCAGAGCTATAACAGCTCTCATCCGATGCTGGTGATATCTTTGTGTCTCTAATAGAGTCATTTAGCACATCGAGCGAGCCGTGCAGCTCTTAGGTGGCCATTTTCTGTGTCTGTAATGGCCGCGGACAGCCGGGGTGAGATCATCATCTATAATGGGGGGCGGTTGGAGCTGCCTGGTGTGATGGTTCCCCTCCGCCTCCAGCTTGAAGGCATTGGAGCCTGAGTAGACGTGTGTTGATGCTTTGCAGGGCCTCGCACCGAGTCAGACCGCACCTCAAACAGCCCGGGGTCGCCCGCACTAAAACCTCCATTTAGATCTGGACTGGGTACAACCGCTTAAAAAACCCAAAGCGGCACTGGCTCCAGCCAGCCACAGTGCTAAGCCCGTTTCCTCCCAGACTAAATTTGTAAACGCCCTCCTTCACTTCGCCCCCTTCACACTCCTCGCCATCTTCAAGCGAGAGGGAATGGGTGCCAGGCGGGGAACGACTCCAGACTTCTCAATTTGTGAACGGCACCATTAGTGAGTTTTATTTGCTTGATTGGATCGCCCGCCCACCGACCATCCACCCTGCACGCTAAACTTCCTGCTCCACAACACTGCACGTCCAATAGCTGTAGAGGAGCCCTGGCCATATTGCTTCACTCTGATGGTCCAGCTTTAACATGCTGTTCCAATAAGGCGAATCATTCAGAAGAGTGAAGTCAACCTTTTATGATTTTACGGCTTCCTTCTCTCTTTAGGTTCCTGGGAGTTTCTGGATGATTCCCAGAGCATTTATTCCACTGGGTTACTGTACAGGGGACCGGCCTGCTTTCTGACTAATGTTAAGTCAATGTGTTGGGGCTGGTGAATCTCATTAACACTTAATTCAGACTCAGCACCATCAGTTTGATTTCTTCTAGGTGTCGTCATGGAGTCACACCACGGCGGGTCAGTGATAGAGGTGGATCTGCAGCCTCGTCGCATAGAGGATATGTGTGTATGCAGCCGATACCTTTTGAAGTAACATCACCTGAACTACACTTTCTGTCAACATGATGAGGACATGTTGTTAATTAAAGGGACACTTCAACCCAAAATCAAAACTACATATTATTCCACCTACATGCTGTGCTGTTTATCAGTCTAGATTGTTTGGATGTGAGTTGCAGAGTGTTGGAGATATTGACTGTAGAGATGTCTGCCTTCTCTCCAGTATAATAGAACCAAATGGCCCCTCAGCTTGTGGTGCTCAAAGCCCAAAAATACATTTAAAAAACTCAACAGCAATGTCTCTTTCCAGAAATCATGACTCAGTTACTCAAGATAATCCACAGACTCTTGCAGTTTCATGTACAAACTATTTTTTCTCTGCCAAACTATACAAGCAAACCAAATTGCCATACATAACACCCTCATACAAGGATATCTTATGAAAATGCACAAACAATGCTTTGTATGATATCCAGTGAATTAGCACCCCACAAATGATGTCGTCATATAGTTAAGGTTACATACTTAATGTGAAGTTACATAAGTTAAAAAGAAAAGTGGTGATGACGTACCTTAAAATAACTCAGAGTTCACTTTGTTTCACACGGGACACAAACACTGGTCCAACACATTCTCACTCTGACCTTTTCACAAATCGACGTTCAGTCATGGACCTTCCACATCCAAATACAACATGAAAGGTATCCTCTTCAGTGTCTGACACTGTGAGTCACTGCCCAAGCGCCGGATTTTGACAACTTCAGAGTGAGACTGGACTCCTGGGAAAAGTCCTGCGTTTGTTTGATCCATCCACTACCCCTTCCTGCCTCCTTATGTGGATTTTCACTGTTTATACTACTTTCTTGTTCACTCCCGTCAGCTCATTAGTTGAATTTTGTTGCATTATGTATTTGAATTTATTTAGATGTTTATTATACAGGGAGAGTGCACAATCAAAAGCAATTGCATCAGAGTAAGCTAGCAGCTAATTTACATCTTATGTCCCTGGGCAGGTAAACAAAAAAACAAACACACTGAACAGATAGTTGGCTTCACTACACAAAAAATAAAATACCATGACTGTAAATATTTCACTGCATAAAACAACACATTACTTAAAAGTCCATCAGTATAAAATCACTATGACTGACGGTATACACGTCAATCATTGTACGTGAAACTTTTTGGCGATTTTAGTCAAACCTTGAACCTGATTTAAAAACATACTTTTTGTAGATATTTGTATGAGCAGTGCATGAGAACAGCCTGCGCAGAAGGAATCATGCATCTGCTGCTAGCTCAGCCGAGGAGGACACCATTAATATTTACACCTCGTGCTGTCACGAGCAGCACGAGTAGATGCACACTTCCTTCCACACGGTGATACAGTTGATGGGTGTAGTTTGATAGAAAGAAAATAGTTCCTACATGAAGCTGCTCACAACAAGGTCTGTGAATTATCTTGAGTAACCAGGTCATGTTGAGTTTTTCAAATGTATTTTTTGGCGCTTTGAGCACCACAAGCTGAGTGCCATCTAATTCTATTATACTGGAGAGAAGGCAGACATGTCTATGGCTGATATCTACAACACTCTGCAACTCACATCCAAACAATCTAGACTGATAAACAGCACTACATGTAGGAGGAATAATATGTAGTTTTGATTTTGGGTTGAAGTGTCCCTTTAACATATCTGCCAAGTCTCTTAAATGTAGATATTGAACGTGTCAGTAAAATGTTATTTGACAATGTATTTCATTTATTTTCTGGACAAAATATTTGATCTTATACAACAATATCTGCTTGTAATGGCTACAACATTATTAAACTGTTTTATAGCTACATTTAGGTACTGGCAGCACTTTACTGTGGTCGAGTTTAAACCAAAAAAAGTCTCCAGTGATGTGAGACACAACGTGTTTATTTAATGGAAGACACAACCTTTTCCGAACCAAAGTGCCTGAACCTAACCACACGCAGGACTCAGGATATGAACCCAGACTGTGGTGTTCTCTTGCATCAATGTAGCGCTTCATTCACTAAAAAAAATAAATAAATAACATTGCCTCTAAATATAATCTAGCCCAGTGGTTCCAAACTGGTCCAGATTTCTCCTCAGTCATTAGTTCAAGGTCCACAAAGTTTAATATATTAAGCTTCATACTTGTGTTTGGTCATGTCATCCAGCTAGTTTGCTGTCTCTGTTGTAGCTGTCCATTAGTCACTCACTCTACAGCAGAAAATAAAACAAAATAAAAGCTCTGTGCTGGAAATTCACTGTACTTACTGCAACCCAATTTTGGGCCCTACACTCCCACAGTTCACCTCCACAGGTGCTTTCACTTGTTTCACCTGACTGAGACCTTTAAAGACCACGTGGGCGTGAATGTGCTCACTCTCCTGTTGGCTTTGTTGCACCTGTTGGGGACAAATGACACCTCACCCGGCCTTCATTTGACTTCAGCCTGACCAGGTGTGTAATCAGAGAAACTGAAAACACCTGTGCATGTGTGCAGGGCATTTCATTTAACTCTATCAAACATCAGACAGTGTTGTCTTTTTCTGGTGGATGTTTGTCCGCGACCACAGCTGGTATTAGCGGGTATTTTTTTTTCGTACCTGGGTTTCTTTCCCCTCATGGACAGTTTTTGTTTTACCATTTTCTGTGCAAATGAAGTATAATAACCACACCTACTACTACTCCTACCACTAATGACAGTTATACTAACAAAGCAATATTAATGCTCCCTTGTGTAGTATTAGCTGAATACAATGCAAGCAAACAAACAAAAACACAGACACAAAAGTTAAAGTATTAGAGAGTAAATATGCTGTAACAGAACTGATGTGTTGAGGATTAAAAAATGTCTCAGCTGCATTGATCCACAGTATCAAGCCTCTCTGATGTCAGATAAGGACATTTAAAGACCTTATTTTCAGCCAAGGCAAACATGACTCCCCAAACTTTCTCTCCAAAACATGAATTATAGCATGTTAAATGAGGCGAGGCTGCAGCTGATTATTGTTATTATCATAACTAAACTGGAGTAATTGTGGACAACCGACATTTTAGAGCTATTGGTTTGTTGCCGGCTTACATGCTGTCCTGTTGTGGGTGGGCTCGTATATTTTGTCCTTTGCTTTCTTCCCTCGTGTTTTATTTTGTTGTTTTCTGGATGATTTTGCTGATTGGTGGCTGCTGAGGCATGTTTGTGATGAACGACTGTGGAAATAAAATGTGTCACTCTGCTGAGAAAAACCCTTTTCATCATCACAAACACAACCTCACAGGGAAAAACTTTGATAGAAATTGGCCATTCTGATTGCACAATCCATCAGTGACTTCAGTCTGAATGTATTGCTTCTTCACCCAGGTGTTTACTGTGAAACCAGCTGTGTATTATAACTCTGTAGTGTTTTATGAAGTTGCAGCAGACACAGTGATCTATCGTCTCTGCAGCTGAAGCTCTCAACTCCGTGACCCGAGGACCTTAAGGTGCTGCTGTCACCCTCTCTGAGGTCACAGGAGCTGCAGTGTGCACCAAGAGAACAGTGACCTCTACTGGTAAGCCATGGAAGAGGTGTGAGAGTGTATGAGTGTGTGTGCGTGTGTGTATAGATACAAGCCAGTGATAATTAATGTTTAACGTGCTCGACCTGTGACGTGCTTCTCTTAATGTTTGAACATGTCGATGGAAACAAAAAGTCTTAGTTAATTGTCTCAGCTGTGGCACTCTTGTCTCAGGTTAAGGGGTTGTTAAATGTTCTATACTCATGCAATATACAAGAGAAGATTATCAACAAGTCTGGCTTTATGACCTTAATTGTTTAAAATGATCTTGAAGCTGCTGTACATGATGTTCAGTTTGCAGTAAGGCATCTGTTGCAGCATTTGCACTGATCTAAAAACAATGTATATATTCAGCAGTGATGGAAGATACTGAAACTGGTGGGCAGTTTACTTTTGGCTTCATTTGGCAAAAACCCCATAGTAAATTTTAAACATATTGTAATTCAAGTGGTCTGGGAGAGCACCGGATTTCTGCACCTCCTCTTGGCTCTGTTTCAGCTTTTAGTCTTTGGCAAATCAGAGGTCATTTCAGAGAGGGCGTTTCTATTGGCTGTCCTATAAATGCAGATGCACGTACACGTCCTTTCGGTGAAACCCTGAATCAACGACTGAGAATCCTGCAGAGGAAGTTGCTATTCCTGTATTGGCAACAACTGCCTACACTGTAAAGCAACCCAAAAAGGAAAATAGACTTATCAAAAATAGAGTCTAAAAAATGAGTCTGATAATAAACAAAATAGATAAAACACATGTCAATATCGGTGAAACATTTCAGATAACAGAAAATGGTGGTAACAGTTAAGCCTTCTACTACACATTGCTAACGTTAGCTAGGCCCTCAAATCACAGTGTGTCCTCTGCCTTGCTATAGACCACCTCTCTGGGAGGAGAGCAGGCAGCAGCTCCAGAGACGGACCCCGTGTTGGCAGCTGCCGTAACCCGAATCCAGCCGGCGCAAACCAGACAGCCCCGACCCCCTGCTGGATCAGCAAACTTTCTGTTGCTGCAGTTACACAGGTTAGATCCACTGTCACTGGCCACCAGCGCTGGGGGTTTCGTGCTGCCCCAATTCAAGCCGCTACAACTGCCAACCAAAGGTTCGTCTCCTGAGCTGCTGTCCGCTCTCTTCTCAGGGAAGCAGTTCACAGCGGCGAGGAGAAAGGTGGAAGGACAGCGGGGTGGCTAGGACCTAATCCTTGTCTCATTTGTGGTCTGATAAAACAGCGAGACAAAGAGTAGGACAAGGGGGGGCTGAGTAAAAGTGCTGCTCACAACGATGAAATAAGATTAAATTAATCAAGGTATGAGGAACATGGGGTTATTGTATGAAGTGTTTGCATATGCTATGGGCATCTGGTGGGAGGGGTTTAGGACAGGAGGAGAGTGCCTATTTTTTCTGTCCTAGATTTCTGCCTATCCCAGCTTTACACGACCTCACATACTGCAGAGTAGTATCATATTTCATATTTTATAAATTCACATTTAGTTTCTAAAATCTTGGAGTACAAGTATAATGTTGCATAAAATTTAAATATTCATTAATGTAAAAGTACCTCAAAATTGTACTTGAGTATATGCACTTAAATCCCACCACTGAGATGAATGTAAATCTAAAAGTGGAGCTACAGTATGATGGATTAGTTACTGTAATAAATATGTGAAGTCCTGACTGCAGCTACAGATGACTGTGAAGAGCTACAAAAACTTTTCTTCATTGCTTGTTTTTACTTGTTTTACTTTCTGCTCTGATTGAGCTGCAATTCTTCTCTTCCCTCAGTTTACATCCCGGATTGTTTTCTACTGACGGCATGTTTGAAATCCAGAACTGTTTGCTTGACATTTATCTGCCTGCAAATAAATAGCGTGTCTCCCCAGCAGCTCTGGAGTCAAGGGTTATTGCTGCTCGGTGTCAGTCATATTTAGCTCTTGCCCAATAGGAATCCAGCGACCTCTGCATATTTTGCACTCAGCGGGGTCAACGGCTGCGCCTCCGGGGAACCGTTCTGCTCTCCGTCTCCTCTCACGCTGGGAAGTGGAGTTCCCAAGCATTTCCCCCAACTGTGGTCCAGAACAATCCCATGTCGTCGCCCAATCAGGAGACTGGACCTTGTGACGCATGGCTGGGACAATAGGAGGATACAGGGGCATGCTGTATGGGTGCAAATACCCCCCTTTGTCATGACGGCAGGGTTAGATAGGTTCTTTACAGTGTAGTGTCGATATCCTGAATTTTATGTTGTGACACCTTCAGCCAGCTGTAATAAATGACGATGGAGCTCTGACCCTGATAATATATAAAATGTGTTGCCTGTGGATCAGATCCACGAAACAGTCACGCTATAAACTGACCAGAGCCCAGCGTCTCTGTTGCCTGTGTGTCGTGACATCTGTTGAAATCATAGCCCCGTTTTCAGCAGGACCCTGTCCCGCCCTGTTTGCAGTTGCCGTGGTGACGGGTCAGTGTGCAGGAGGCAGAGCAGGGTTTGGTCCAAGCTCGCTGGGACTGAAGAGGAGGCGGCGGTTTGGAACGGGATGGACCGCATTCAGTTCCAGGGCTTTCCAGAACCTCCCAGGGGCTTCATTAAAACAAAAGGAGGCGGAGGAGGAGGAGGTGGGACTTCCTGTTGGAATGTTGCAGACCAACCGTTACCCCATAGGAACTGCAATTTTTAATGTGGACAGAAGGTCTACAGTCACACCACAGCAATATCATGTGTATCTATTACAGACGTTCTCCATCATGCTGCAGCAGCCTGTCTCGTCTATTCTGAGCAGCTCAAATCTGCTGTCAGAGGGCTGCCAGATTATCCTCTGCTCAAGTCATCTATGACCACTACAGACCTCCACTGGTGACCAGCAAGAACTGCAACAACATCAACTTCACCAAGCCCCACCCATCCTGTCCCATTAGGCTGCACTCACACCAAATCAGGCATTGTGGTGATTATCTGCAGGGTTGTGTAGTGTTGTGGAAGTGTCACTTTAATGGCCCATTTGTGTGGGGGTGGAGAGAAAAGCCACTCTTCCTGTTTCAGTAACTGAGTGTCTTTAGTGTTTGTCAGCTTAAAAGATCTCTGTAGAATTCCTTTTGATTATAATTACTGTAATATCTTTACAACCACCAAAGACAAACATGTGTGCACAGGTTAGTTTAGTGCTCTCTTTTGTAGGATACTATACAAAAGCTGTTAATACACACATTATTTCTTTTACTCTCTATAAATTTTAACAACAGGAAGAGACTGTTGTTTCCGAGGACTGTGGGCGTAATTGCAGGTTACGTGACTGGCCACTACAAAAGCTGAATCTGTTTCAACTTTTTGCCTCCAACCACTGCGTCTTTTTCTGCTGCTCCACCACCACCACCTACGTAGATGCACTATCCACATTCAGATGAATCAGGGGGAGATGTTTTCACTGTGATGCCAAATTTGGTGTTAATGCAGCCTTACAGCCGAAATACAGGCTGCAACTCTTCTCTTCTTAGTTTATAGTGATCGATGTGACCCGGACAGATGTGATCACGATCGCAAACAGCTTATTTACACGTCCAGCAGACACTGAGCGACATTATCATTTATTTTGAGTCACGTTTGCGTCCACCAGATGAATACAAGTCAATATTCACATTTTCTTTTAGCTCTATTTTGATCTCCACCAACTCCACCAACCAAGTGTGCAGTGGGTTTATCAAGGTTTTTAGCTGAAAACAGCTGCTGCTGGAAACGACACTGATGAGAGTCAAAAACAAAACGGTGAGCTTAAAGGTTCTAAAACGCTCTGTGGAGTTGGGAGGAATAGTGGGTTCTCCAACACATTCTCATTCCAAGTCGTCACGTTTAGCCGCTTTGTCACCGGCCTTTTTACATCTAGATTTTACACGCTAGGTATCCTCCTGCGTCTGCTGTTGACATTCCAGGACACCACAACCAAAGCGGGGACGTCAACAAAAGTACACTGTGAGGTTCAGAAAAAACATCATGATTTGGCTCTACCTTCATATTCCAGCAAACTCCAGGCTCCTGGGTGAAAGTCCAGGGTTTGCTGAACCCGTCCACCCAACACATTCTCACCCCAACCTGGTCACATATCGACGTTTGGTCATGTCCAGATACAACATGCAAGGTACCCAGGGTGCGTTGGTTATTGACACTCTGGGACGCGATGTCATCTTCTGCCATGCATTGTTATCTTTCAAAATACACTTCTGTTTTCACAGGAAATGTACCGTTTGCATAGTCTTTTTCAAAATAAAAGCACTATATCAGTACAACGCCGCGTATCAATGTTTTTTTCCCTTCAAAAACAAATGCATGTGGTTGAATTTTTGTTCTTTCCCCCTGACGCCAGCAGCTACTGTTAAACTGTAAAGGCGACTGGCTACGTGTCATGCCAACAATAAGGGAGAGCTTTTTTTGTCGGTGTCTGATTGCTGCCCCAGAACCAGATTTTGACGACTTTGGAGTTAGACCAGGTTGATCCACCACCCCTCCTGCTCGCCCACCGGAAATGGGAGTTTCCAGATCGTTATACAATGTCGTCACCGCCAGCTTTTCAACCTGACGCCGTCCAGCAGCGTATCATACCGTCGCAACAGGTGCCGTCCGGTCACGTTATGAACTGATGCTGCCCATCCGGTCATTATACTGTCAGGACAGGTGCTGTCTGGCCGACTGGCAACATATCATTACATCTCAAAAAGTTTTGTTTGACCGTGTTACAAACTAACGCCCCTCCACAGCCTATCACACGGCTGCAAGAGATGGCTTTTGGCATCAGGTGTCTGATGCAGAAATCACTGACAAAGCAACGGTGTTTGATGCCTTCCGAATGAGAATGGGCCGGGTTCTCTTACTGTCAGTTTGATTTTCAGTGTGACAGGTTTATTTTAACTGGTTAAACTGGTGCAGTTAAACATTTGGTGCTCATGGACAGCTAAATACATGCTTTAATGCAGGCGTCTGTGTTTTGATGTCATAGTGATGTCACAGTTGCTATGCACACATTTCTTCTTTTATTTTTTTTTACAATGTCCAGTTGCAACATTAATTGCTTATTTGTAGCACTATTGAGCATGACAACTGCATAATGAATAACGTGTGGGGGGATTGGAAATCATCTCCATGCTGCTTTGTTCCGAAACAGAGAATCAGCCAGAAAAGTGAGAGCCAGAAATATCAGCACGGAAAACTAATCCATGAGTCACTGCTGATGATAAACAATCGTATCAACTCTCTTCTTCTGCAGTTATTTTGGAACAGAAAATGTTACTTATACGGCTACACAAAGGCTGAATTCAGCAGCGAGCGTATGAAATGAACCTGTGTTAAGATACAAAGAGCGGAGAGGAGAAGAACACCTGGAATCTGACAGTTGCATCAGTGCAGTTCATCATCCAGCAGGAAACAATAGAGATGTTGTCGGTCTGAAGCAACAGACTCACTCAGGAACCAGCGTGGACGACTGCCACTTGGATCAGAAACTGTTTTCCATAAATCTGAATTACGTTTCCATTTTTAGGTGTTTAAGACGACACTCCTGATAATAATCCTGTGACAGGAAAAGAAATAAGAGATAAAGAAAGGGAATACTTTCACTGACCAGAGATCATTGCAGGAATATTAACTTTATATTCATGATATTGGATTTTAGCTACAAAACTGTCAGATTACACCACATGTGGAGTCATTCTCTGACTGATTTACTTATTATACACAAATAAGAAACTCAAACTGAACAAGAAATCAGATGTAAGATTATGTTTTTTAAGAAGATTTGCACCTTTGGACAAAGAAAATGACGTTGTTGAACACTTGTTGTGATCTTGGCCTCGTTATCAATGTTCTCCGAGCTGAATAAATAAACTGAGTAAATGAATTCTGTGGGTTGAATTTCATTTTGTTGTTTTTACTACTACTATTTGCCAAGTGGACAAACAACAGCTGCAGCTGTTTATTTTTATTTTTCATCAGTTAAAGACCTCTCCGGGTAATTTGTCCAAAATGCAGCTAAGTTTTATAAACATTAAATACAGAGGAGAGTTACACTCTACATGTTGGTGCACATGACACACAGCCTCGGATATAACAGGGTCTATGTAGACCAGATTTAATTCTGACACACTGATAATAAACTGGCATTGAAAATTAAGTGATGCATGTAATAGTTTGTAAGTTTAATATATCATTATCATTATCAAATTGTGTATATCTTGGTATAACTACAAAATACCAATATCTCGTAACTGTGAGGCTCATATGTAAGGATTATAGAAGACCACATTTATCATTTTATTGAACATGATTGTCCTCCCACATGTTCTCTGATTTTACAAGAGAGAAAAAATATTTCAAAAGGGGATTTTTTTGGACATTTTTTCAGTCCATCCGTTAACATAAACTGCAGCATGCAGACAGCCGGAAATTCACAAACAGCAGGGAAATTTTTCTTGTGGTGTTTTTGTAAATGTATTTATTTAAATAGACTTTATTTTCCCACAGCAGACATTTAGACTTGTACGGTAATAACTAATGATGGCTCAGATCAGTTCGAATGCCCCAGTGATCCGTGACATTGTGATGGTGAGCCTGCAGCACAGTACCAGGACAATAACCTGCAGGCAAAAAAACACTCTGAGTCAGGTCAGATATACACAAGTAATAAATAGTAAAAGATAAAGTGCACACAAACAGGTTTAAAAAGTATAATAAAATACAAAAATATAAACTCCACCTGCAGGGTCTGGGTATTGCACATTTCCAGTTTTTGTTGCACATAAACTGAGGTATATGAGTAACTGTAGTTCGTCCTTATTTGCTTTGCCATTAGTCTCACTGTGGCAGAAAAAAAGCTGCTGTGTCAGGCTGTGTGCTGAATGTTTGTGCCTGAGGAGGGTGTGAGCTGGGTGATGTGTGTCTCTAATGATGCTCTGTGCTTTTTTCTTGCAGCATTGTGTGTAGGTTGTGATCCAGTTCCATAGATGCAAGTTCAGCCTAATGATCCTCTCTGCAGTATTTACGATCCTCTGGAGACCCTCAGTCATTTATTTCATCATTTACACCTGTGCTTTTTTTCTCAGAATGTCCTTTGTGGGCAGGAAATACTGAAATTATGAGTTATTATGATCATGAAGCTAAATAAATAAATAAATCAAATCCAGTAAGTGGACTTTGAGTTGAGATTATTTTGTCATTCTTATTCCAAATATACTAAAAAAAAAAAAAAAACAGTCAAAATTGTTAAATTAAATTAATAATTTCTTGATATCTCTGGTATTTTTTGTCATTTATAGATATGCAGTGTTGATTGTTGGGTAATATGTATGTTAATGTTATCCAGTGTCAAGGCTCTGATTACTGAGGAGACAATATGTGCACAATAGCGTGCGCTGGAGCCCTTCACAACTACCTTACGCCACTACATGAAATGTCAACAACTTCTTAACGCTGCATGGTGGTGGCACGTAATGTGTTACAATCACTAAAACAATGACGATTGATAGTCAGTTATGATCCTTTATCATGAGGGACGCATACATTTTTTTGGACATCGCACAATACATGGTGTAACTAGCAAGACAGTCTGTGTAGGGTGGGGTGGTGAATGGGTCAAACAAACACAGGACTTCAACCCAAGAGGCTGCTGTTTGTGTTGATGTCTCCCTACTTTACCTACTTTACGTCACGTTACGACGTACTTACATCCCGTACTAAACCTACCCAAGTATTTTTTCGCTAAACCATACCAAACTCTTGCCATTTTACATGTTAACCATGTTTTAAACTGTGACCTCCCATTGGCATTGTTTCCGTCATGCTGGCGTGTAATTTTACCCCATAACGTGGCACCACCACATAACGTAGTGTTAAGAGTTTGTGGTCATTTAACATATTTCTGTGAGACCAGGTTGTTATTTACTTCAGTGAAACCGCAAAATATCCCATTTTTATTCTCGTGTTTGTAACGTTTGACCAACTTTACAGGAAAACTAAAACAAAAAAAGGCCGTACTTTGTCCCAAGTTTGTTTATTAAATTCAGTGTTTAATATTCATATTTATATCAGGGCTGTCAAAATAACACGTAAAAGAAATGAACAGTGATTAATCACGTTCCGTGGTGCCCTCTGACCTGGCGCATCACTGAAGGCCACAGTGGCTTTGTCACATGGAGGCAGACGAGATGAAGCTGCCTGGCCCTGTGAATGGAACATTTACATTTAAAAAATACCCAGATGGAGCTGTTGATGGAAGCACTGTTCTCTGCAGTTTTTGCAGTAAGGAATTTCCGTACCATCGGAGAACTTCAAACCTGAAATATCACCTGAACACAAAGCATTTAGCAGCGAACCCAGAGGTCCGAGCTAGCACAGCCTCTGATGCTAGCACTAGCAGCCAGCCTTGTCAAGCCACACTCAACCAGGCGTTCAGACACAAACTGAGTAAGTCTACCTGTGAGCTCCCTTGCAAAATGGACTGCAATGGACTGCAGACCAGTTAAGTGGTAGAGGACAGGGGGACAATTGTGTCCAGAATCCAGCAGCTTTATGAAACATCTAGCAAAATTCATTTGAATGGAATTTTTTAAAATACTTTAACAGAAAAAAAAAATGTATGCGATCAATTTAGATTAATTAATCACAAAGCATGTAATTAATTTGATTATTTTTTTAATTGCTTGACAGCCCTAATTTAAAAATATTAAAGGATAACTATATATTGAACAATATCTTGACATTCATTGCACTTTTTGCTTTTTTCATGAGTGCTTTTGGCCTCAAATTGTTCAGTGTGTTAGATCGTTTGGTTTTGATAAATAACTCAGGATTTGCTTAAAATCTGCATTAGTAAAGAGTGTTAAATCAGAATGATCTGTGATTCCAACACTAGAAGCATTTTTTTTAAAAAGTGCAGTCGTTAGAGTAAATAGTGTAACGATGTGCTGTGATCACACACTGGGATCCATTTTCCTTCTTAATGGAGTGTGTTACACAACCAGGCCGTGTTTATCTTCCACCTGATTGATCCTTTATAAGGCGCTGATTACAGCCGACCAATTACAAAACGCTGAGGGGGAGGCAGAACACACACACACACACTTGTGGGAACACACACCAAGTTAAAAGACACACAATTAAGAAGAACTACAGGACACACAAGGACACATGCTGTGGTGGAAGAAGTACTCAGAACTTTTACTCTAGTAAAATTAGCAGTACCGCTCAGTAAAAACATGACCATTTAGACTTCCTATATGTGTTCAGATAGTATAAATGTTGCAACGTTACAAAAGCACACGTCTTTACACATCTTTTGTTTTTTACTCTCACTTCTACAAATTTTTTAACATTGAAGGTTAATACAGATGATGGTCATAGTCTATGGCTAGTTTCTAATGGTGCAACCCGTAACTCGTGCTTTTACAACCTTCTACCTGTGAAAGTGCACTGGAACGGCAGTCAAACCCGTGAACTCGTACCAGATCGATGTACTCCCAGTTACGCTTTCTGACGTCACACAGCCCTTTAAAGCAATTACCTTACTCTTCTAAACAACAATGGCAGCCCCATGGATGTGATGCTGATTGCAGGTGATACAGGTGAGAAATAGACAAAAAATAACCCTAATTTTAATGCATTATTGGCTCTTGCACTCTAACAGTTTCCAGCTGGTTTCCAGTGCAAGAATAAATCAATACAAAATACATTTCCAAACACACAGATAACGTAAAATATAAAGTATAACAGCATCTGTGACCTTATGCGCCATTTCTCCTCCTCCGTTTTGCTCAAATTGGCGATAGAAGTGATCATAAACAAACATAAGGCCTGCACGGTCCGCCATGTTGCTTTCACAGTTGGGCGTGAGTTGCCTGGATCGCTATGAAGTCGTGAGTCGTGACTTGAAGTGGTGACTTATGGACTCAGACACTTGCCTGTAATGCAGCATAAAACTAACGTAAAAAAAATGCTTAGCTAATGCTAGTGAGGTGCTTGGTGTTAGCAACAGGCTAACAGGTGAGCTACAGTTAGCTGTATGGAGGCAGTTACAGTCGCGTCTAACACTTCTCCTTGAAACCCTCAATTTCTATGATGAAGATGGATCACAGGATTCTGTTTACAATGTGGAAAAATCAGAGCCTGGTGATCGGATGGTTAGCTCAGTATGTGGACAGCTAAGCTCCTGAAGTCTCGTTAGCAGATGTGTCAAGAGAGTTGCCTTTTGTCATCATCCTCCCAGTCACTGACAGCTGACGGATGCAGAACTGTAAAACCATGTAGCTGCTGAATGCTCCCACATACATTTTATAAATTGATCACATTTTCTTTGTAAAATCTTAATCTGCAAAGTAACTAAAGCTGTGATATGAGCTGAGATGTAGTGACGTGCAAGTGTAAAGAAGCATAAAACTGATATTCTCAAATTAAATGAAGGCTACTTGAGAGAATGTACCATCACTGGACACATGGTGTGCAATCAACATCTGTGCATATATGTACAATAAAAAGTGAAAATGTCTTCATTAACACACACAAAAACACATTCACACACTCTGCACACACACAGTATCTGCACACACAGACACACACACACACATACACAGACACAGGGGCGTGGGTATAAATACACTGATTCCCTGCCTCGTTCTCACACCCACACAAACACTAACACACACATTCCTGGATCCCAGCTTGTGTCGGGTGTGTTTACATGCCGCCATCACTTCGTGGTCTGGCACGAGGCATCGAAAGTGATCAGAAATCGGACCAACAAAAGGCTAGAGCCAAGCCGGAGAGTAAATAAGTAATAAATCTATCCCACATCAGCGGAACGTTTCACTGTAAACACGCTCTTAAAAAAAGAGCGCGCTGTGGCGTCCCGTGTGGATGGGAAGATGGCCGACATTCCTGCTGCTCTCCACAAGAAAGAGCAGGCGATAGAAAAAGAGCTGTGAGTTTACGGGGTTTTTGGCCAGTTTCTTTCAGAGCATCTGGTGGCTTTAATCACAACAAAGCACAATTAGTCAACGTCAGAGAGTCGGAGAGGAGCTTTGTGTGGGACCCACAACATGTGAGAAAGACAGAGAGAGGAAGAGCGGGTGTTTGTATCCTGCTAAAAATGTGTTTCCTTTGGGCTTGCTACAGTGAAATCATAATGAGAGTAAATGACCAGAACATTAATATCCAGAAGGCTGTAGACTGACAACTCTCTGACACAATCAGCAGATGTGTGTGGCTTTTATTTTAAAATCAGAAACATGGTGTTGTGAAGAATCTACAATAGGACTCACTGAAGTTTGTGATATGGCTTAAAAATGTTTGTGCTGAAATCAGCCAGGAAGCATATGTTAGGGGGAAAACTTTTATTTTGTTTTATTTTGTTTTCTCTTTTCTGTTTTTGTTTGGTTTAAATGTGATTTTTTTCCTCAAGTTAAGTGGGCAGAAGTCCAAGTAAGCTGGGTGGGACAGGTGGTGGATGGGTCTAGCAAAGTCTTAGGGCTGCTGTTAAACCACGCCTACTTAGAGCAACAAAAATGTTCTTGGGTGCATCGGTACAATGGACAACCAAGAAAGGACGGCAGAGGAGATACCTGCACACCAATGTAACTGGGCTGGACAGCCACAAAAAAAGGTTCACAGGCTGAGATCAATGCAAAAAAAAGTCAGTTTATTTAGGAAATCCGTGCACAAAAAGAAGGTGCTCAAAGTGCAAAAAATAATTTAAAAAAGTAAATAAAAACAGCAGCAAATGTTTCAGTCCTTCCAGTGTTCGCTGCCCATAAGATTGTAAAGACAAACCCTGTTCTTTGTTCCTAAACCTGGACTGAGAATGTGTTGTTTATTCACATATACATTTTTTAAGGGACCATGAACAATATTAAGCACAAATGTAGCTCTGCTTTGGTCTCCACCAACTTCTAAGCGAAACATCCAACCTGCCCTCATTCCCAGGTCAACAGCAACCGATGCTTTTTCACACCCCTCAGCGTCTGATAGTGATGCAGTCAGGGTAAGGGTTAGGTTTAGGTCATGTTGTTTTCGTCATGTTTTAGATTAAAATAATTACTTTTGTTACGTAATGTGAATACATCATGTAAGTGACATCACTGCTCAACAGCTGTACATAAATTAGGTAACATTACGCTAAAACA